AGTGTGTCTACACCTGTGTGCATATGTCCTTTATATGACTAGGATCATGGTATGCATTTGTTTTGTAATTTGCCTTTCCCCTCAAGAATATTTATTTATTTATTTTAAAAATTTTATTTATTCATGAGTGACCAGAGAGAGAGAGAGAGAGGCAGAGACACAGGCAGAGGGAGAAGCAGGCTCCATGCAGGGAGCTCGATGTGGGACTCAATCTCGGGTCTCCAGGATCACGCCCTGGGCTGAAGGTGGCGCTAAACCGCTGAGCCACCCGGGCTGCCCACCTCAACAATATTTAATGGAATTCCCTCCCTGTTAATAAATATGGCTGCATATTTTTGTTGTAGGATCTACGTTTGGTGTGTGTACCACGTTTGACTAAATGCTTTATAAAAGAGTATCCATTCACTCTTTTAAAAAATATTTTATTTATCTATTTTGAGAGAGAGAGGAAAATTGCAGGCAGGAACAGGGGGGAAGAGCAGAGTAAGATGGAGAGGGAGAAGTAGACTCTGCTGAACATGAAGCCTGATGCAGGACTCAATCCCAGGACCCTGGGGTCATGACCTGAGCCAAAGGCAGACACTGAACCAACTGAGCCACCATAAAGGAGTATCCATTTTTTCTTATGAATACTCTGTAATAAGTCTTGTGCAGTTATCTTTTCCAGTTTGTATGACTATATCTTAATTTAAAATATTAAGGTGGGTTAGAAGGGTCAGGGCATCTATGCATATGATATTGGATACATGTTGTCAAACTGCCCTCTAGGAAGATTGTTCTATTTGTGTCATGTACACTTCAAGTGAAAGCACATGTTTCCACACATACAAAGCAAACAGTGAATTTTAATAACGCTCTAAGTCTTTGTCTCTATCACTGAAAAAAAATAGTATTGTGTTGTTGCTTGAATGTCAGTGAGGTTGAACATATTTGTATCTCTTCATTCATAAATTGCCCCTTTACCCATCTTCCTCTTGAACCCTTCTTTTTCCTCTATTGTTATTTATTACATATATTCCAATTTTGTGGCTTGTGCATAAATTTTTATTTTGTTTTATTTTGCTAAAAGAAGTCTTTGCTTTGGTTTTAATTTGAAGTAGTCAAATGTATCAGTGGTTTCTTTTTGTGTTTTTTGATATTTATAACATATTTCAGAAGGTCTGGTCCACCATATTAGTAAACTTGCAACTTTTGCTTTTAATCAAATGCTGCCTGAAATTGTTATTTTTTTATTTTGTATTTTACTCATGGCCTCAAGTAGATCACTGATCAAGGAATTGATATTGTTTCCTCTCCTCTGAATATTTTGTTCTATTGTTTCTTCATTGCCTATCTTTTACTCTGAAACTCCTATTTCATAGTGATGGGAGCAGATGGGTAGAGCTTCAATTTTCATAGTAATGGAAACTTTATTATTTTTCAATTCTCTAAGTCAGAATTTAGTCTGGTGTATTTTTATAAAACCTATCCAGTGAATTTTGGGAGGAAGGGCATACTTTATGTTTCTAAGATTTCTTGTCATTTGCTGACTCTAGCCACTCCTTCTTGCTTTACATCTGCAGGACCTAAACTGAGAATGTGGTCCAGGACTGGAAAAGAGTAGGGTAAATGACATCTCTACAGGGAGGGTCAACCCAGTGGTGTCTGGATATGGGACTCCAAGCAAGAAGAGAGGGCACTCTAGTTTCTTGTCCAAGTTCAGTGAGAGCTCTGGCTTTTCACATGTGTACAGGACCCAGGCTCACTAGGTTTGGATTCTGTAGAGTGTGGCTTAGGGCCTGATGATCTGTAGGATGCAATAAAAGGTAGTATTTGGAAAACACTAGAAAAGTACAGGGAAGAATGATGCAGAGGAGGGATACTTCCTATCTGGAAGTGGAAGTGTTTTAATAAGGTAGGTATTTTGGGAGGATAAGGAAATGATATTTTAGAAGGAGACAGAAAACATATGGAGATGGAAACATAAGAGAAATGTTTGTGAATGATGCTGATGGTAGTGGTGATGGTGGCAGGGGGTGGGTAGTGATAACTACTCTTATTTACCAAACATATGCCACATGCCAGCATGGAAAACCAGATATTTGTCATATGCCCAGGGCATAAGTAGATATTTATATCTGATTCTAGTCTCACATCATTCCTGGTAGACATTATTTTTCTCATGTATTGATAAAATAAAACCAAGGGTTAGAAAGCAAACACATATAAGAAAGATAAGATTCAAACTTAGCTCTTCCTAGTGCCAATGTCTCTTGACCGCTACTGTATTTTCTCAAGTCACTCAGCATATCTGGAAAAAGCAAAAGATGCCAGGGTATGGTTTCATCGGGAATCTAGCTTGGGGGAAGAATAATAAAGGGCTTTGTAGGCGATGCTGAGGCATGGGGATTTTATTTTTCAGGCACTGGGGAGTCCCTACAGGTTCTTGAGCAGAGAAATGTTATACACATGTATTACCAGACTATATATGTGTGTGTGTGTGTGTGTGTGTGTGTATGTGTGTGTGTGTTAGCAGATTGGTAGATTGGTTTTGGTATAATGGAAAACAGGCAGGCCTATTAGAATTTGTCACATGGCTGACAGAGAAATCGTGAGGTTTAAGGTTGGACTAGTGATAGCAGGAAGAGAGGTAAGGAAATTGGATGCAAGAAGTCAGTGGAGAAGTTGGAAGGCTTGACTGTTTGGGGTGTCATAGAGAAGCAAAAGTGACCTAGAGCCTAGGATAGGTTTGGGAATTCTATATAATGGCTATTGCCACATTGAGAAGGGTCCAGAAGGGTCATTGGCCTGAGCACTTTTAGGTTGACTGTCTGTCAATATCTGTAAAGTCTACCTTGCTAGGCTTAGTAGACATATTCAATGTGCAATTTTCTAGAACATTCACATGCAGTGATTCCTTAACAAGTAAAACAAGTAAAAAAGCTCAAAATGGGGTTTTATACCTCAACAGATTGTATACAAATGGAACATACCTTAACATAATAAGGCCATATATGATAACCCACAGCTAACTCAATGATGGAAAATTGAAAGCTTTTCCTCTATGATCAGGAACAAGGCAAGGGTGCCCACTCTCACCACTCTTTTTTTTAAAAATTTTTAAAAATTTTTTTGTATATTTTTTATCGGAGTTCAATTTGCCAACATATAGTATAACACCCAGTGCTCATCCTGCCAAGTGCCCCCCCTCAGTGCCTGTCACCCAGTCACCCCATCCCCCCCACCCACCTCCCTTTCTACCACCCCTTGTTCATTACCCAGAGTTAGGAGTCTCTCATGTTCTGTCACCCTCTCTGATATTTTCCACTCATTTTCTCTCCTTTCCCCTTTAATCCCTTTCACTATTTTTTATATTCCCCAAATGAATGAAACCATATGTTTGTCCTTCTCCAACTGACTTACTTCACTCAGTGTAATACCCTCCAATTCTATCCACGTTGAAGCAAATGGTGGGTCTTTGTCATTTCTAATGGCTGAGTAACTCTCACCATTCTTATTCAATATAGTACCAGAAGCCCTAGCCAGAGCAATTAGATAAGACAAAGAAATAAAAGGCATCCAATTTGGGAAGGAAGAAGAAAAATTGTCATTATTTGCAGATGACACGATTTTATGTAGAAAATCCCAAAGACTCAACCAAAAAACTGTGAGAACTAATCAATGAATTCAGTAAATTTACAGGTTATAAAATAAACATATGAAAATTGGTTACATTTCCATACTCTAACTATGAAACATCTGAAAAAAGAATAAAGAAAACCATTCCATCCATGAGTATCAAAAACAATGAAATACCTGGGAACAAATTTAACCAAGGAAGTGAAAGATCGGTACAATGAAAACTACAGGGCTCTGTTGAATACAAATAGACAAAATGAAGAAGACACACACAAATGGAAATATATTCTGGTTCCATAGATCTGGGGAATTAATATTGTTAGCATGTCCATACTGCCCAAAGCTATCTATAGATTTAATGCAACTCCTATCAAAATTCCAATGGCATTTTTCACAGACATAGAAAAAGCAACCTTCAAATTTGTTTAAAACCATAAGATCCTAAGCAATCATGAGAAAGTTCAAAGCCAAAGGCTTTGACCTCAAACTATACTACAAAGCAGTAATAGTTAAAACAATAGGATGTATCATATATATATTTCAATTAAATAATAACAAGAAACCTCCCAAAAATTCACAAGGTTATAGAGTGTTTGTGTAATAAATTAGTATATTTTTCTTTCTCTAAGGTATAATTTTACTCTAATTGTATAGCTCATGTGCTGTGGTTCTTTTTTTTTTAAGATTTAGTTATTTATTATTTGAGAAAGAGTAAGAGTGCACACATGTGTGCACTACTGGGAGGAGGGGCAGAGGGAGAGAATCTTCAAGCAGACTCCTCTCTAGTGGGGAGCCCATAGGGAGCTCGATCTCATGAGGTGAAACCAAGAGTTACAGGCTTAACCAACTTAGCCTCTCAGGAGAACATGCTGTGGTTCTTTATGGGACCACTGTGCTGATGATCTGTTTGGTGAAATATGGGGGAATATGAGTATTTTACCTCTCTATGCAGGTCCCTCAAAAGACGTTGGTTGTGGATTTCTTAAATATAACTCTTGACACAATAAAATGTCATCAAGCTCAACAATACCTACTGCATTCAAAAACCCTAGGGACCAGCCAGACACTCAATCCACGTTCTGTTCTTATCTTTTTTGTATATTGCAGCTGGCTAGCAATTCCTCTCCTCCTTTAATTCTGGCAAGATGGTTATAAAAGCTGAGAAATAGAAATGGCCAGTTGCGGCTTATTGGAGAAGTCAATGCAGGAGCACATGCATAGGCACACGGTAGAAGGGAAGAACACAATTATGCGACTACTTTATTACCAAGGAGAGGATGACAATGGGCAACGGCTGGGTGGCAAGAAAAACCAACCAACCGAAAGCCATCTCTGATGAATCTGGCTCTTTGGTTTCTTTTCCTCTCTCTTGTCTGCTGCAGGTCAGGCTTCCAGCCAATCGTGGTTATGAGACTTTGTCCATCGTCAGTCCCTCACTCGCATACACCATCCACACTGACATGGCTGGTACTCACGGGAAGGGGTTTTGACAGCAGTAGAGTAAGATGCACCTAGAAATTCAGCTCTCATTGGCATTTTCTTATCAGGATTTTTCCCCACTCTCCTGAATGTAGGTTGCCAATCTGAGGATCGTGGTGGTTTTCAGGTAAAGTGAAGTAAAGCCTTCATAAAGGTGACCCATATATGCAGCAGGACACTTTCTTGAGATATTAGGGACTTTGAACTGGATTTTGCCCCTGTAAAATTGGTAATGCTTGCAACTACGCAGAGATCTTTTACCACAATAAACAAAGCAATTAATGCGCCTTTAATTTGCACCTAACCAAACAGAAAGGGTGCCTTTATTCTATGTGACATGTAGACGAATTTTTCTTTAAAAACAAAGTTTCATGCTGTGACTACAATTAGTGTAATTGTCAGCTCTTCTCTAAAAACAAATATGTATTAAGAGAAACGCCAGCATTGTGCCCTCCTCTGGTGTGAAAATGAGACAATCAAAATCTATTGTAATTACCTCAGTGATATTATAATTAGCAACGATTAAGTAATTCCATGCTGCTTTTTTCCTCTTGGCTACAATTAAAAAAGTATATATCTTTCTGCTGCACATTACTGCTGATCATTTTACCTCAATACATGTCTGGTAAGTGGATAAATTAGAAGTAATTTTAAAGCACAACTCCGTTAAAACATATATCTTTCTATTTAACTGCCTTAACCCTATAGATGCATCTGTGCTCCTTGCTCCTTGGTGAAAAAAGTGCTCTATCCCTGGTTTCTTTACCCCTGCACTGTACCCACCCCCCCCCTTCAGAAATCAAACATTTAAATTTTTTTTAAAGATTTCATTTATTTAACAGAGAGAAAGAGTGAACACAAGCAGGGGGAGTGGCAAAGGGAGAGGGAGAAGCAGACTCCCCACTGAGCTGGGAGCCCCCGGGTCCTCTATCCCAGGACCCTGGGATCATAACCCAAACGGAAGGCAGATTCTTAACTGACTGAGCCACCCAGGTGCCTCAAACATATTTTTAAATAGACAGTTCTAGAAAATGGATTTTTTGTTTGCTCCTTAATTACAGATATCCAAATGATATGATTAATCATTCAGTTCTTGCCAGGCAGACCCACCTAGCTCCAAATCCTTGAGCTGGGCAGTAACTAGCTTTTAAAATAAATTGATGAAAAGCCGAACAGCTGTATCATCATAGCAAGTAAAGGCCCTGGATAGATGGGTTAGGAGAAAAAGTGAATCAGGACATAATTACAAATTTGTCTTTTATTTATCACACATACCGTTCCTATTTAATTTCTCATGGATACTTGCATGCCATCTCTTCCTACATGGAATTTATGGAGAAAAAGGAATTCATGAGAAAATAAAGATTTGATTACAATTTGAAGCTTGATTTGCTCTGTGAGGCAAGAGGTGGTTAATGATCTGGGCTTATAATTTCAAACATTTAAAACATTAGACCTCGGTGCCCATATATCTTATTACCAGGGTTTCTGGTTTTCTCTATGATTTTTGATTAACAGAGACAATTGCCCGAAGTTTCGTTTTCCTTGAAACATTTACAATAACCTTGCTTACAATAACCAGAAAAGACAAACTCTACCTTATGACGGAAACACATTTTCCCCCTGTTTTACATTGCTACTGCTAACCAGTTCCTTGGATATCTTGGTTAATTTTTTTCCTCCAAATTACATATGTATAATTTTTATAACAGCAGCATCTACAACAAACCTTTTGGATATCCAAGCATACTGACAAGACAGATCCTGTGCAGCAGTTTTCCCTCCAGATCACAGTGAGCAATCATGAGGTTTTAGGCATGGCCAGTGATTTTGCTAAGCATTTTCCATTCCCTGAGGCTGAGGGCAGAAAGAAGGGAAGAAAGAAGATTCATTTTCACTGTTTCACAGGGAAGATAACTGAAGCAGGAATACACATTGATTCAGTAAAGAAAGAAGCATGTAGGCCTTTCCAGAATGCTCTTCTCAGGTGACAGGGGATTTATAAAATGAGGGGAAATGGACGGAGGGCAGTGGGAAGTGGAGGAGGTGCCCTCATGGAGCTCCAAAGGGGCCACACCCACTTGTGAAACCATTCATCCTAAGGCACCATTGATTTACACAAGATGCCATTTTGAAAAGGAAGACTAATTTTTAAGGCTTGAGGGCACAATGGAGATACAAAATAATGTGTGCAGATATGCGAAGTTGTACAAAAAAAATTGTATGCAGTTATTTTGTAGGAGTTCCAGCCCTTGGACCCTTTCTACAGGGCCAGTTTCATAGGTGTTGCACGTCTGCACTCCCATGGAAGGGGACCATGTTTGTTCTGCAGTAGCTGTCTTGAAATTCTTTTTTTTTTAAATTTTTTTTCTATTTATTTATAATAGTCACACACACACACAGAGAGAGAGAGAGGCAGAGACATAGGCAGAGGGAAAAGCAGGCTCCATGCACCGGAGCCCGACGTGGGATTCGATCCCAGGACTCCAGGATCGCGCCCTGGGCCAAAGGCAGGCGCCAAACCGCTGCGCACCCAGGGATCCCTGTCTTGAAATTCTTAATTAAATTTTTGAAAAAAGGGCCAGATGTTTTCATTTTGCCTTAGGTGTTACAAATTATGAAGCCCATGGTGACTTCCTACTTCTCTGCCCCTGGGGCAGCAGAATCAAGTTCAGTGGTCAGTAGCCACACTGCCTTCCATCTGGAGGTGGTTTGAGTGACAGAACTATGGTACTATATTCACCACCCCATATTATATGGACATGCTAGATTTCCATATTTCAGATACACCAGAAGGATATTTTTGCAGGGATCAGGGTATGTGTAAATGAATAATTTTACTTACTCTAAACACTGTTTTTCACTATTTTTTTCAGACATTCTACTTGTGCACACAGGCTGATTAAACAAAAGTTAAAGAGCCCCATGGAGTGCTATAGTCACACACACATACACACACACACACCCCAGCTGTGAACAGAGTTTCTTCGGTCCCAGACACTGCAATCTCTCCCATAACACTAATGACGAGCTTGTTTAACTCCCATAGTGATATAAAGCGCCATTCCCATTAATATCCATCGTCACTTGATGGCATGTGGGAATTGGAAAGCCCCGCACTCACTCGGGGACACCCATCGGTGCCTCTGTGTATGAAGTGGCGCCCTCAGGTGTGAGCTGCTGGGACGCTTGACTGGCTCTGAATACCTTGTCACCCCGCACAGCTCCTTTAGTGTGAGGTTTGTTTAATACTTATTTATTAGCAAGTTGACAGCTATTTAGTTCATTGAATATTGCTTTGCTGGAAGAAGTGAAGTCAGAGCACGGGAAAGAAGACAACTCTGCCTTCTAGTGTTTTTGTGGGAACGTGAGAGGAGAGGAAAGGCCCTGGTCCTGCCAGGACAGGACACACAAAGGGAGCCTAATTGGTGTGGTGGAATTTAGTGTATCTGGATCCAGACATTAGGGGTTATGGAGTGAACACATCAGGCATCATCTTTCTGAAACTTCCAAGAAGTATTTCTCCTCCATCCAGAACTTTCCGATGCCTTCTTTTCACTTCAGGAATTCCCAGGGGATGTCCGTATTCCCAGGTTCTGTATCCATTCACCTCTCTCTCTGTCAGCAAAAACCTATCTGGCTTCTCTTCTCTGTGCTTTGTTAGGAGGTAAGAACACTAGGCAACGCTCAACTATATTGAACTGAAGCATCTCATCTGGGGACTCAAGAGTTTACTGAAACAGTAGTTGTTTTGTCGTTCTAAAGTAAATACACATGATTGAAGTCTTCTCTCTTCCATGACACAGGTTTTCTTTGCTTTCTTTGCTCCGGTCTGCGTGTCTGTGTCCTCTCAGTATTCATAAGTTGAAACCTAACCCCCTGGGAGATGGTAATAGGAGTTGAACTTGGAGGGAATGGCTAGGTCATAGGATAAAGCCCTCATGGATGGGATTAGTGCCCCTGGAAAACAGACCCCAGGGAACTTCCTCACCCCTTCCGCCATTGGGGACAGAGTGAGATAAGGTCTCCTGGGAGGAAACAGATCTCACCAGACAGGAAATCTGCTGGTGCCATAATCTTGAACTTCCCAACCCCCAGAAGTGTGAGATACAAGTATTTTTGTTTATAAACCAAACACTTTTGTATGATTTTGTTATAACAGCCCAAGTTTTACATATAATATGATCAAGGACTGCCTAGATTTTAATCCCACCTTTACCTTTTATTGCCATGTATGCTTAGGTGTCCTCAATGGTAGAGATAATAATGATAGTCATCTCATTGGGATGATTTGGAAACAACTTAGTTAACGTGCATAAACATTTGAATGGTGTCTGTCACATGGATATTGTTCAATAAATATCAGCTACTAATATTGTCCCAAGTTATTATTTTTTCTTGGTTTTGTACTGTTTTGCTATTCAAACAACATCATTTTGTCTTGGCAAATTCAGCCTACTACTTAGCTCATTACTACTTTTTGGATACTGATTATCACACAATCCCTTAGTTATCGGAACCCCAGCTTTGGTTAACCCGAAATTTGAGTTAGTGTTAAGTGTATTTTTTTCATTCCCCTTAAATTCTTATGTTTTTTTTTAAATTCTTATGTTTTTGCATGTGCTCACCTCATTAAGTTATTAATAGCTTAATAATCATTAACATTGCTTTTTGCTGTTGTCACAGAGTTTCATTTATCTACCTATAAGCCTCCAGACTGCAGAGAACCTGGAAAATTCTTTGTCTTACCTTCCCCACTTGAAGCATGTTTCATATGGTTAAGTTTTCATTAAATTTATGTAGAACTAATGGACATAAATCCACTTTTATTTTTTCCAAGTCATTCATTCATTCTTGAATTTATTTATCCCTTTTTTAAAAAGATTTTATTTATTTATATTAGAAAGAGAGAGAGAGAGCTTGTACAAGTGGAGGGAGAAGCAGAAGGGGAGGGCAACAGAGGGGGAAAGAATCTCAAGCAGATTTTAGGCAGAGCACAGACATCTATGTGGGCTCGATCTCACAACCCTGAGATCATGAACTGCACCGAAATCAAGATTCAGATGCTTAACCCACTGAACCACCCAGCTACCCCTGAATTTATTATTCTAAGATATATCCCATAAG